ATTATTTTTATATAGTCATCTTTCCTTTCTCTGCTTTTCATTTGAAATTCAGAGATGGCTAGAATCAACTTCTGAATTATTGAATTTCTAAACAAAATTAAGTAGGCACTGTCTTGGCTGTTCTGAAAGTAAAATTAAGACATAGGAATGATCCTTTGAATTTTTAAATGAGAATTTTTTTTTTTTTTTTTTTTTTTTAAAGGAAAAAGGAACAGGCCAGGAACAAAGCTGAGATTTTCTCAGACACATTTAGTGCTCTGGCTGCACAACCATCCTTGTTCCCACTGAGCATTTCAATAATTTTCTTAAGAAGTTTTTCACTATGGCTTTTGTTGAAGTGCTTGTAACTTTGTGATGGATTTTTCTTTCTTCCTTTTATAAATGTTTTCACAGACAGGCATTTTTAGTGTCATTCTGCCTCAATGGTATTGGTGCTCTGAACTCAGTAGACTCTTCATTACTGACTTAAAAAGAAGAAGGGAAAACTCTAATTTCATTATTTTTTATAAAGTTATTTTATTAAATAGTTGCTCTCCATATGCCTGGGTGGGTCTATACAATTTACTAATTAGAAGAAAGAATTATCTCAAGGAAAACTCTCACAAGAAGCATATCCAGCCCCATGAGGTACTAAAATACACACAGTCTCAAATACACACGTGCTAAAATTTCAGTTAACCCATCTTTGTGTGAAGAAAAGAAGCTGCACCACACCCTGATACATCAGAATTTGTGCTGGGGTTTCCAGGGAGGTGCATTTTTTAATAACATGGCTCATTAATTCATATCATTTACAGTTTGCCTGGCCCAGGTTAACTGGCTACRTGCAAGTGCAGGGTAACATCTGGTCAGTTTGGGGGGAAAAAAACTGAAAAAACAACTTTTCTAGCTAAATTCTGTGAAGTGATTAGCATGCACAACCCAGTGTGATACCAAAATAAATCTTGGGCCCATTCCTGTGGAAGTCAGTGGCTACAACAGTCCCTGTTTTTATGGTAAAATAAGTAGGTAGTTGGGAAAGCAGCAGAATAGGGGTATTTAGGAGGAGGAGGGACTCACTCAGTGAATCAATATCAAGAAAATGGTGCCAGCAATATGAATGGAAGTGTTTATTGAGGCTGTGCTCACGGACCATAACAGAGGAAGTTTATTTGCTTTGTATAAAGGCCTTTCGTTCGCATGGAAAAKAATGATTCCATTAATTTCTTTCAGAGCCAGCGACCTTTTATAAACTTCTAACCTTTCGCCTGCGTGTGATTTACATTCCTTCTTAGCTGACCACTAAATTCAAATGCAGAACAATAATAAAAATAATTACAAGACACAACTGAAGTGAAAATAACTTGGTGCTTTTTTCCAGTATATCATAATACAATTCTTAATGAACTGAAATTTGGGAAAAAAAGATGATACACTGGAAGATTTCAGTCCACAGATTCATGAACCATTATATAAATGTTTAGGGGCCTGAGGAGTTTTATTGGTCTCAGACAGGTGTGTGGACAACCAGATCAGTACAAAACAACAAGAAGTTACCAACCTTTTAAATTTACACAGGAATAAAACCAAGGCTTCGGTGTGTGACTGTTTCTTCTCTCCTGTGAAATTCTGATGTTCTACTTCTATGAAACTATTTTTAAAGAATTACTTACTTTACTACTTATTTTTAAAATACTACTTAAGGTGCTACTTAAAGTAGTACTTTCTTTACTAAAGCGGAAAAAAAAATCCTCAAGATGAGAATCCTACTCAACAGAAAGGGTCTATTCTTAGAGTACCCTCTTCACTTAGTGATATTCTACCATGAAGAAAATTATCTTTCACTGTCTCTGAATAGTAATTAGTATTTTGGAACCACTTCACAGTTCTAGTGGCAGTACATAGCATCAGATTCATCTATCATGACATTTCCAAAGCAGCCAGTAAATTCTGTCTCRTAATGAGTTGACATGATTGTGCGCAAAATAATCTTTGCTCTGAAGATAATTACTTGGGTTTTAGAAATATTATATTGATATTGGACCCATGGAAGGAACTGAGTTAACCAGATTAAGGCGCAGACCTGATGATCTTCACCACATTTAGGCAAATACATAGAGTTTAATGGTGGTAACACAAGAAGCAAGCCCAGTATTGGATCTAAAGCTTTAGGCTGTGTACAAGTTTCAACCCTCTCTTGTTTTGCTTCACTTTTTAAATTTAAAATCTGTATGCCCTTGACTGCAGATTGAAAAATAAATGAGGGAAGGAAACTTAATGGCTTTCTCTGTGAGAAAGCTGCTACAAATGTCCTATTTACTGAGTTTATCAAGTGTGCATCTTTCACACATTTAACATTTTCCAGCACTTTTTACCTGGAGTAAAATGGTGCCTCGGCTGAAATAAATGAATAAATCTGTGGCTGTTTGCTCAAAATACAGCATCCCAAAACATGCAGTTGGGAGCGAAGCAGCAAACACCAAACAAAGCAGCGCTGGTGTGTGAATGGAAGCAGCTCTATTCATGTGCATCAAGGAACCTTTGTCACTCGAGGTTAATTAATTGCTTTGGGTCCTTACAGCTTGCCCACCTTCCCACTGGGGACCAAACTGCATCCACACGTGCAACTGCCACAATGGAGCTTTCTGCAGTGCCTACGATGGGGAGTGCAAGTGCACCCCGGGCTGGACTGGCCTTTACTGCACGCAGAGTAAGTGAAATTTGTGTTCGTTCTGAATTATCCTCCAGAGCAGCTTGTAGCTCAGCACGTGTAATTCCAATACTGCTTGAGAAACTGTTTTATTTAGAACCTTGAAAGATGATTTCACTAGATTGTAGCATCATAATTTCTATTGGAATTTTCTTCATTTAAAAATACATTAATACTGATTTTTCTTTCCCCAAGAATTTTTTGTTAAAGTAAAATAGCTGTGCAGCAACTGGGTGTGTAGGTATGTGGCATTCATTATGTGCTGGCTAAGAGTTCACACAAAGTTTGAGAAATAAACATTTCTTCAAAATAAATATCAATAAAATGGGCTTCTTGTCTTTATCATACTACACTTTGAGTTTGATTCACTTTCCATTCATGTTGTCTTACTGACTGTAATCCTGGCCACAAYGCCTATCTTTGACCTCAAGAAAAATATGACTACTGACTGTTGCGCATTCAGTGTTCAAATACATGTTTTCCATAAAACYAGAACCCTCCTGTTTCAAATGAGTAATGTCATAGTGGCAAGAAATAACAGAGACATTACAGGACCATATGGATGCAGTTCTGGAAGACATTCACTATGCTGGTTCAGCTGTCAGCTATCAGAGGGTTTTTTTGCTTCCTGCTGGTGAATAATGATCTCTTTGCTGTGGTGTGTCTTCTTCACATTGAAATGGTTTCTTTGTGAGTAGCTCAGGTACATTATRTTAGTAATTTTGGTTTTTTAATGCTTCAACATAGATTATGAAGGAAATCTGTGCAAAGGTTCACTGACTGATGGACAGATTCCCAAACTGCCTTCTTTCTCCTCCCTCAAATCTCTTCCTAAGCCCGTTTAATCCAGGAGCTTTCCCTGCTGTCTTTTCAGAACCTCTGCTGGCTGTACAATTTCCCAGCCACATTTTTACACAGTTTTTGCCGAGCATGTATTGTAAACACTTCAGGCAAGGCAGGTCTTGGTCTGTTGTGCTGACARAACACCCCATCTCAGGAGCCTGAACCAGAATGTTCCACTCCCAGAGCAGCTGTTTCACTCCCTCCCTCTGCTTGCATTGCAGGGTGTCCCCTGGGGTTTTTCGGGAAGGACTGTGCCTTGATCTGCCAGTGCCAGAATGGAGCCGACTGCGACCACATCAGCGGGCAGTGCACGTGCCGGACGGGCTTCATGGGGCGACACTGCGAGCACAGTGAGCACCACCTCCACCTTGGGACACAGCCTCTGGGCTCTGGGGGCAGTTCTGATGGGCTGAGAGCTTCAGGATCTGCCCTCAGCCTTTCCCCAAGCAGTCAAAACCCCACAGAATTAAGTTGTTAAGATTGTCATTGGCGGCTGTTTCCTTGCACTGCGTTTTAGTCGCTTTGGGCGTGACATTAAGGGAACACCCAATCACTAAAAGCAACAAAATGAATCCAGGGAATTGTCATTATTGTCCTTTGAATGCAACAAAATGTGTCCATTGGCATAAACCACAATGACAGCTAATAGTTGGGAAACTAGAGATAAGAACTGACACATCAGTGCTTGGGGATGAATTAATCTTCGCAGTGTGATTTTACTGCACAGCTGGATTGTGGAAGCCTGGTAGGTGGTACTTTGTTTTCAGATATGTGTGGTTCTCTGCTCAGGAAGATCAGGAATAACTCCACTGGCATCAGTGGTGGTACAATGTTGTACAGAATTAAAGGAATAATGAGGCTTGTGAGCGTGGAGTGTCCCACCTTTGCTGACTTTAGTGGGCCATGCTCCCACATCTGTGCAAAATAAACAGATGACATCTGTTTATCCTCAAAACATCAGTAATGTTCAGGAAAAGATAACTTTATCTTTAAAGATAGTCTCTTGATGTCAAAACATCACCTTGAATAATTTGGCAAATTTAACTCTGTTCCAGATTTTGTATTTTGTTCTTCAAGTTGATAATAATGATTTCACAATGTTAAGCTAAGTGTTTTGATATTCATTCTAATTTGGATCTTAAAATGCCAAAATATGTTAYGATATGATGGGTTTTGCCCATCCATTTACTTCAGTATTTATTATCTTGTTTTATTGAGTGTAATCAAGTGAAGGAGGAGGCACATAAACATGAAGTTTTTCACTTGAKTTGGGATTTGTCAAGACTGCAAGAACACTCTCTGGCACCCATTGTGTTATTTTATAAATTATTCCCAGTTAGGAGCACATGAAAAATAAGTTAGATACTTTTTGAAAGACAAAAAGAAGCAAATACAGTTGGCAGAATTCTTGAGAAATTTCAGAAAATTGAGCCTCAAAAGGTGAAGAAATACCATATTTGCTAAAACCATCAGAATACTATAATGTAACAGGTCACACCTGCTCAGTACAAAGAGGTGGCACTATAAAAGAAATAATTTTTATCCATGTAGGATAATTCTCCACCAGGGAGACACTTTGAATTAACTGTAGTTAAGTATCRTATTCAAATATCCAGGGAGAGAAAYAGTTAAGTACAGTACTCCCAATTATCTTACTATCCATAATTTAGCATTTTTCTCCAGTCAGTGGCTTTTCAGTGTCTACATGCAATAGTGTCTACAAAGCATGCTGTGGGCAGCAGCTTTATTTTTCTATAAATGTGTGGTGCATTTTAGACTCACTTTGCTCTTGCTCTTGTACATCAGCCCATCTGTCGCACCACAGGACACCATCCAGGGGTTTGGCTCCACCTGTGTGATTACCTGATTTTTCAAGCACTGAGATCTGAATTCTCTGACTCTTTATGTCACACCTTGCCCATTTCTTCACTGCTTTCTACCCTTTTTGCTTTTTGGAGGGTTTTTTTTGTGCCTTGATTCTTCACTGCACCATCTCAGCATCATTGCATGTAGAGGATGGATTCACATTTAAGTACGAGTTCTCTCTCTTCTGCATGCTGAGGAACCCTTCCAGGAGCGATCTGAGGCCAATGACACATTGCCACCTGCTGACCACAAACAGGAGCGTGCATGGGGTTAGCCTCGCATGCTGCTGCAGACCTGTAATTCCAAAACTTTAAACGAGTTTTTGTTTGCTTTTGTTCTTTGCAGAATGTCCCCAGGGCACGTATGGGTACGGCTGCCGCCAGATCTGTGACTGCCTGAACAACTCCACCTGTGACCACATCACAGGCACCTGTTACTGCAGCCCGGGATGGAAAGGGGCCAGGTGTGATCAAGGTAAAGCCCAGATGAAATAAAATTATTGTAGTTGTTTCACATAGGAACTGGATTCACCTATTAAACACCATCTCTGTATCATTCACTAAATATATCTGACAGGTGTATTTAAGAAGCCCATTCTATCAAATTATGTCTGTTTTGTGGGCTTTAAATTAGATGCCTCAGTGATAATTAGTTGGAACAAAGCACCTGAGTGACTATTGCATGGAATACAGGGCTGTGCTGCTAAAAGTTGCTGAGGGAGTATAGGCTTTAGCTGCCCTGTGCTTTTTGCCCATAGCATGTTCTTGCTTTTTCAAATCTCTTTCTGTGAAGATTCTGAGTGTTTTCCCTTAAGGCTGAGCTCAGTTTCTGACACAGTCCTAATAGGGCATTATTAAACAGAGTTTAATAATTCACAGACTTGGATGTGAAATTTTGTCTCCTGCTCCTGCCATGTGACCCCCCTGGATTTATGCCACTTTATTGTCATTTCTCTTTCTGTTCCAGCTGGTGTAATTATCGTGGGAAACCTGAACAGTTTAAGCCGTACCAGCACTGCCCTCCCCGCTGACTCCTACCAGATAGGAGCCATAGCAGGAATCATCATTCTGGTGCTGGTTGTGCTGTTCCTGCTGGTGCTGTTCATCATTTACAGGCAGAAGCAGAAAGGGAAGGAGACTCACATGCCCACCGTGACCTACACCCCTGCCATGAGGGTCATCAATGCAGATTACACCATTTCGGGTAAGTGACGTTTAGGACACGGGTTTTTTTCCCCCTCCATCTCTTAGCTTTTTGCTCAGATCTGCTCTTAACAGGGCTTGAATTCACATATTTCTGCTTTTGATACCATGAAGGTGGCTCACCCTGGGGAAATGTGTTAATGATAAAGAGAAGTGACCACTTACCTCTCTTTACTGTGCAACATTTTGCACTCCCAAATGTTTTTTCTGCATTAAACATGGACATTCCTTTTCTTCGGSTCTTATCTACAACTGGAGTGCTGCAAAATCTGGTTTCTACAAGGAACTTGAAATTCAATGCCAACAGCTTGAATACAGAAAGAGTACAGAAAGTCAAGATTTCACACTATCTCTAAGATTCTTCAGAGAAGCAGAGAGCAAAGGGGCTCAAGTTTGAAACTAATTAAGAGAAGGAGCAATGAAACAAACAGAAGTTTCTGAACTGTTAAAGTGCCTGTGAGTTGAGATTCAGTGGGTACAGGAAACTTCACGCAGTGGTGCCTTCTGAATAGCACTGTTGAGGAAAGCAGCAGCTGAAGTTGTCAGCAGCTGAAGTTGTCAGAGTCAAGAAAAAGCAAATCAGCAAAGGCCCTGGTCTTCTTGAAGCACCAGAAGATGTTGGTACAAGTTTGATGGCATAAGTGACAATAATGATGACTACGAAGGAAAAATAGAGTAAGGGACCGCAGCAGAGAGAGGAGTTATCAAGTTACACTTGGGAATGCTCCTTGCTGGAAGTGAGGGCATGACTTGCCACTTATTGCCCCATATCTCTAATTCCTCTGAATGAATAAAAGACACTTTGTTGGTTGGCTTTTTTTTAAGAAACTCTAGATCAGATTCTGAAATCAGTGCAGCACTGTCAAAAACTTAGCTTAAGCAATGCCATGTAATTTTCAGTTGCTCATTTTCTTTTCGTTCCTTTTCAGAAACCATCCCTCACACCAATGGTGGGAATGTCAACAGCCACTATTTCTCCAACCCCAGTTATCACACTCTGACTCAGTGCTCCAGCCCCCCTCATGTCACCAACATGGAGCGACTGACTTTGGCAAAGGTAAAGCATAAAAATATGCAAACTTCTCTGACAATCAGTCTGTAGTTTCTTTCACCTGTTCCCTAATCTCTCCTATTTGACTTATTTTTGGTCTTCCCAATTATCACTTCAGCACCTGTCCACCAGTTTCAGTTTTATTTCTTTCTTGGAAACAGGCAAAAACCAGTCAGCTCTTTGTGAACCTGAAAAATATGGAGCCTGGAAAACGAGGTGCTGTCATGGACTACACAGGAACCCTGCCAGCAGACTGGAAACAYGGCGGCTACCTCAATGAGCTTGGTAAAAAATAACAACCAAAACAACCAAAAAGAGAATGCGAATGTTATTCATTGTGTGTGGGATGCATCCCTTAAAGCACTAAGAGATAAAAAAGTGACCTCTTGTGAGGAATAGTGGAGCAATTTAATGCCCAGTGCAGACATGATGTGTAAAATACCTCATATTATTTTTATTAAAAGATCTGCTTATGGATTAATTTGATGAAATAATGGGTTTTTTACAGTAATGGTCTGCTTTGACGAAATTACTGATTCTGACTTAATAAATGAAAGGTTGCATATGTTCTTTTTTTAATCACCACAAAATGCAATCAGTGGTTTAAAAAGTATTTTTTCATTATCTGAACTGCTTCATATGTAAATGCTGGATCCTCCCAGCTGTCCCTTCTGTCTGCTAAAAGACAGAGTGTTGTCTCCAAGAAGAAAAATTCCCAAGAAGTGGTGAGAGAATTGCTGTATCCTGCTTTRTGCTGCCTTTTCATCCTTTTCCAGTCCCATGCATTCCAAAAAGGCTGTACTGCACTGACCAGTGAGAGCCTTAAGAGGGACTTTCAGTGGCAGTATAATTCAGATACTCTAATTACCTTCATTTCTGGTATTTACATGTATCAGATTCTGGGATTCAGAACAACAGTATGCAGCCTTTTTTTTTTTTTTTTTCTTGCTCTTCCCAGTCTTGGTCAAACCACAACTCGGGATCAGATCAGTTGTGTTTGGTTTGGGTTTTTCTTTTTCAGGAACAGGTTTCAATCATAATACTCAATATTCAGCTTTATATTTTCTTAGTGCCTTTGCACTCACAGTAAATGCTCCTCAGAGATATTTTCTGTGGTTAACCCAAAGAAGCGATGTTGAGTAACAGGGAGGTTCCAGAGGACTGTATGAATGCTGATATTATGTCTGATTTCCTAGAAGATCAGATAAGATTGCTGGGGTAACTCAAGGCTGGTGACCTGCGCATTAAACTTGCTAAAACAACAGAACAGCTGACAACAGATCTAATAAAGATGGGGTAGGAATAAAATTAATTAGGTTATGCTCTCCTTAAATGATAAAATTGCCCTCTAGAAAACTGCATTTTGTTTAGATAGTGCATAGATAAAGGGATTTTAGACTTTTATAAAGCTTCTAACATGGTACCACAATTCACCCTAACTCAAAAATCTGCTCCCCATATCGGTCAATGCTATTTGAGTAGATCAGTGATCAGGATGAATAGATCAGTGACCAGGAATGTGCCAGGTCTCTGAAYACAGCTATCATGCACTGCTGTTTGCATTTATTGAGAGAAATCTGTTAGAAACAGGTAATTGCAGAGGTGTATGTTCAGGTGTGGTGTGTTCAGGCCACTGGGACTGGAACAGGATGGTCCTGATTCAGGTATGATTAAATTTGGAAGCAGAGCTTCAAGAATTGGAGTGAACTCTGCACATCCTGAGATTTTCAAGCCAAGGTGGGATGCCTTTCTGGTAGATAGGGTTGATCCAGGTTTAATCCAAGTGGCTTATTCAAGAGTAGCTGGGACAAAAGTAATATTTGTCATCTGATATTTCACAATGATCTATCACACTGATTCATCATTGAATTAAATTTGAGATGTGCTTGTGATATGTGAGGTCAGACTTGACAATTTAATGGTCCCTTATGACTTTAACCACGTCGCCTGTTTCCGTTGCATAGTGTGCAAGCAAACAGTAACAAGTCCTTCTGTATCCCCATCCTGGGCAGTTCCACAGTGCTTGTGAGGGAATTATTCAATGAAGGCAGAAGTGAGTCCAAAGGCAACTTTGAAACATTTAGAAGCTGTTGTCTAATCACTTTCATTTTCTTTGATTTTACAACTACTCTGGTTTTTGTATCATTTTTTTGCAGGAGCTTTTGGACTCGATAGGGGATATGTGGGAAAGTCCCTGAAAGGTGAGGTTGTTTTCTGGTGTATTTAGATAAAATGACATAGACATTATTTTTATTCTTCTGAATTACCTTTGGTTTCTGGGTGAAGACAGTATAAAAATAACTCTGGAGTAAATTTTTCCTAGACACTGAATCAATGCGAGATTGGTTTGTGCGCTGGCATATTTTTTTTTTTTTCTTTTTGAAGAGAAGTTGTTGGATTTCTGAAAAAACAAAAACAACAAACCAAGACATTTTAAGTCCCATATGTATCACATTGATTCACAGCAGAGCTCAATTCTAGCCAGCAGAAGAGGTTAGGACTCAACTGTCTCTGCTGAAAGGCTTTAAGAGACAATTCCAATTGCTTCCAACAACCACAAACCTTCACCACATCCATTGCAGGCCTTTAGAAAGGATATCAAAATACAGAGACACAAAAAATAATGAAAAGTTTCAGAAATTCAGGGTAGTGATCTGATATTTTGATGTTTTGAATTATTCTGTTTTCTCATAAGACCTTGCACTGGGCCATGCTGGTGTCACTGGTGTCACTGTTTGTGGCACTTGAGCAAGGCATGCCAGGGGTGCCTGGATATACAAACAATGGAAATGGTGTAGCAAAGTCCATATGAATGATGAGTTAAATACACAGACAAAAGCAGCTGKTTTTTCCCCTTGTGTATAACAGGGAACAATTAAAATGCCAGAGTGATTTATTACACCTGTTTTATTACACCTGCTCSGGTGCCCAGGTGGCCCAGAAGGCCARTGGCCCCTGGRCTGTCCCAGCCATGGGGTGGCAGCAGGAGCAGGGCAGTGACCGTCCCTGTGCTGGCACTGCTGAGGCCACACCTCGAGGGCTGGGGACAGTTCTGGGCTCCTCAATACATGAAAGACATTGGGTATCAGGAAAAATTTTACTGAAAGGGTTGTTAAGCACTGGCTCCCCAGGGAAGTGGTGGAGTCACCATCCCCAGGGAGATTTAAAAGATGTTAAAGGTTTGGCACTTAGGGACATGGTTTAGTGGTGGATTTGGCAGTGCTACAAAAACAGTTGGACTCATTGATCTGAAAGATCTTTTATAACCTAAACAATTCTACAGTTCTGTGATTAGAGAAAGTCTTGTTCAAGTGAGTCACAATTATGAGCACCTACCCACTGAAAGGTCCACCGAAGTCAGTCTCTTGTTGGATATGGAGTCAGAAATAAGCTAAGGAAGTCCAGATATTGTTCCTGGAAATAGTTTCAGATCCCGTATTTTAATAATGTCATGATTTCAGCACTTGAAGGGGCAGGAAGTGCTCTGAAGTGCTTGTTAAATACTGATTCTGCACATTATCTTTACATAATGCTAGCTGCCATTTTAAGCAGGAATTGAAGATGCTCCGGCTTTGCAACAGTAATTTGCTGATGGCAAGATGAAGCCCTTAAAGAGCATAGCGGTTGAGGTGCTTCCATTAATTGCTGTACAGTCATTTTGAAGTGTTACAGCCAGTTGCCATTTAAATATTTATTTCTGAGTTACTTGTTAGAACTCAGCAGTAAAGAACACCCTTTTTTTTGGTATTAATGTCCATAATATGTAGCATGCTTGAGACAGTRACACATTTTTCCTGTAGATCTGGTGAAGAACTCTGAATACAATTTAAGTAATTGCTCACTGAGCAGCTCTGAGAACCCCTATGCTACGATCAAAGACCCACCAGCTCTGGTGCCAAAGAGTTCAGAATGTGGCTACGTTGAAATGAAGTCCCCAGCCCGTCGTGACTCCCCCTACGCTGAAATCGCCGGCTCTGCCACAGCCAACAAGAATGTGTATGAAGTTGGTAGGTAACAAAATCCACCTCTAAATGCTGGCGGTTAMGAATAAAGGGCACAGGACTTCTTACTCTTTGATTCAGTTTAATCAAATGAAAAAAATCACTGGAAAATCAAAATTATGTGTTCAGATTTTGTGTTCTTCTCAAAAGCCAGAATAACCACCTTACCTTCTTGATGTAATTCACACGAACAGGGCTTGAAATACCTTCAGCTCTGTTCTGTAACCTACAGGCACCTCAGAATTTCCTTGGTCTGAGAGCCTTTCTTTAACCTTACAGCGTAACATAAGCTTAGYATTTGATTGCTATATAGTTCAGCTCTAGGTTGGATTGAACACAGCTGGAATAAGTGTATAGGAGGGATGGGAAAGTTCTGTTTCCTTCCCTTGGTCAGAAAAAAATGGCATCTTCACCCACAGACATAATATTCCACTAATATGGGCCCTGCCTAGTTACTGTATTTCTTTAGATACAAAAAAATGTGGGGTCTTGTGGAGTGGCAGCAATCCTGACCATCTCTGGACTGCAATAAACGGTGTCCCGTGTCACAGGACACATTTTCCTTTCCTATCGGCAATTCAAGATCACTAAAGTCCTCATCATCCCCATTGTGCTTTTAAGGATTGTTATAAGGCCGTGATTAAAACCCCCAAATTAAACATGTTTTTTGTTTGTTTATGTATTTTGTTTTGATTTTTTGTTGGTTGGGGGTTCTTTTTTGTTTTGATTTTTTTTTGGGGGGTTGTTTTGGTTTTTGGGAGGGTTGGGATTTTTTGGTTGGGATTTTTGTTTTGAGGAGGTTGTTTTTTCTTTTTTTTTGTTTGGGGGGGGTTGTTTTTTCTTTGGGAGGTTTTTTTTTGGGTGTTTTTTCTTTGGTTATTGTTTTGTGGGGGTTTTTGTTTGGGTTCTTTGGTTTTTTGGGGGGGTGTTTTGTTGAGGGTTTGGGGTTTTTTTTTTGGTTGGGTGGAGTGGGGTTTTTTTGTTTTTCTTTTTCTTCTTTTGTTGTTGTTTTGTGAGTTTTTTGGGTTTTTTTTGTTTGTATGGGTATTTTTCTTTGGGGCTCTTTTTGTTTGGTTCATTTTTAGTTTTTGGGTCTTTTTTCAATTTGCCCACACATAAAGAAGAGATACTGGTCCACTTGGTTCTGTGCATTCATGGCATGGCCCCACTGCATGCCTGAAGCCAAAACACCAGCTTGTGTTTCTAAACCTGCCTTTCAGGACTCAGCATGACAAGGAATCTCTACTGAAGCAGAAATTGAACTGMAACATCAGTGTTTTCCTTGTGTTTGCTGTCCCTGATGCTGAGTGCATCGTGTTGTTTTGTCTCACAGAGCCCACGGTGAGTGTTGTCCAGGGTGCATTCGGCARCAGCAGCGGGCGCTTCGGCCAGGATCCCTATGACCTCCCAAAAAACAGCCACATTCCGTGCCACTATGACCTGCTTCCCGTCCGAGAGAGCCCCACGCCCTCCACAAACGGGGTCAGCAGCGAATGACCCCACAGGCTGATGCCCTGCAGCCCTGGGACTCTCAAGGGGCAGAGTGGCACAGTCGTGCTCTTTCCTCTCTGGTTTACCATCTCTCTTGGCTCCTGGTCTGTCCGGCAGGTAATTGCTGTTCCTTCAGTGGAATCTCAGCACGAGGTCTGTATTGCGTATACAAGTGACAGATGGACAAATGCCACACTCTGGGGATCCTGATTATTATTCTTTTTTTCATGGCAGTAAATTTTATAGAAACAGGTATGCAACACATTTATACTGTAATATACTGGCTTAAAAAAATAGTAGTTTAGTCTTGATAACATCACATTTTAGCAACTTCAGGTAATAGGCTTCATGTCTGTCATGTTTCAGAGTAGCAATACTCCCAGGACAGTGCAATTTACCAAATACCACTTTGTACAGGTGATCTGATTCACCAGTTATTCACTAGTAGAAGGAAAACTGCCTTGCCAAATTTTACCTTCCATTCTTATCTTTAGTCAAGAAATATTATAAAGAAACAAGATCTGATGGGGATAAGTAAGCACAATTTTGCAGTTGTTTGGGAAATCCRTCATTGAGCTTTGCTGTCCATTGCTGGTGGTGGACGTACGTGGCTTGAATAGTTCTGAAGGAGATAAAATAATTGCGTGCATCAACATTACATGATGCTTCAAGACCTCTCAGTACTGCAGACCCAGCACCAGTCTTCAAGCATTGTGCTGCAGTTCAGCTTCACGTGGTGCAGTTCTGACCACTATTTCTGCCACACACAAACTAATAATCCATAACATATCAATAATTGCTTAAAAAAAAAAAAGTAAATTGAATCAGTTTATTTTTGTCACCATGGACTGATTATGTAAGGAGTGGACAAAGGTGATGACTTCTGTWAATCTTAACTGCAAGGAAGGGTTTACATTTTATAAAAAGGTAGTAATAATGACTGTAATATAGGATAAAGATAGTAAAGTGTTCTTTTTTTTCTTAGAAATAACTAAGCAAACTCTGTGCATACTTGCTAAAAAGGCACCTTTTCTTTTTTATAGTTGATGTAGTGAAACACATGCTTAAGCTGGTCTTTTGCATTGCTAATAATGTGACACATGTACCCCCCCACCTTCATTAACTTCCGTCTCCATTTTTACGCTGTGTATCTGTTTTTAGTGAACTAGCTTGTAACTGCAAAAATACTCCAGTGTGTGTGTGTGTGTGTGCGTGTGTGTCCTTTTCTTTTGCATTTTTGCCAACTAGCCTTTATTTTGTCCAGTTCAAGGGACCTCTGGGCAGAGCAAGAGGATCAAAGTAAGAATTCTGTGTCATACTGATGTCTATCAGAGGTGATTAACAAATACAGAATAGTTTAGCTTAATTCATTAATTCAGAAGGGAAAAAATCAAGGTGTTTTTGTTGAGAACAACAGAAACACAGAAGAAAACTAAAAAACCATTCCTTCTTAAAGTTTAGCTTATTCAGTTTACCATGTGGATGGAGACCATCCTTCCAAAAAGAGTCCTTTTCTCCAAGAGACGCTTTCACTCCTTCCAAAACAGTCTATTATGAACTGCACAATTTGGTGGAAAATGAATCCACCATCCATTGGACAAAATTTTCTCACAAACATGTCAGCTTAAAAATAWAATGGTTGCTATAATTAGAGATCCTCTTTCGGTGGAAAGATACTTACAGGAACCTAAGAGTGAGCTGCCAGCATGTAACATGACCTGGCAGTGCCTCTATAGCACCTTGTCCTGAGGGTTGGTGTGTCCCTGATGGACGGGGAAAAGGATACTGGCTTGTTTCCAATTCACTGGGCATTTCTTGTACGTCCACAGAATAAGTAATTCCATTCTTTCGATTTTGCAAGTACAGGAAATAACTAGAAGATTTCTAGGCTGGTTGCCATTTAATCCCTGTCTAAGATGAAGTATTGATTGGGTGTGTGTGCATGTAGATAAAATGTAGAGCTACTGGTATATACAATTTTTTTGTATTGTGTGAAACCAACTTTAAAATAAAACCTTTCTTCTCAAAAGCCAYGAATAGAAAATGCTGCATTTAACAACTATGAGCTCACAAAAACTTTCTTGCTCTTTGTAAAATTTGATGACCACTAGGTAAATTACCTTCACAATACAAACAATTCTTTTAACATGGAAAAGTGAAGAGCTGAATAAATGTTGGGAGGGTTTTTTTTTTTTTAATTTCCAGTATGTTACATATCTTCAAGTGATACATTCAGTCAAGTATTCATGAAAATAGACGAGTTTACTGTAATTTTGCTTACTGTGTGTGTTCTAAGTGTACACATTACTGAGGTCTGCCTTTCAGCACGTGGGTCAAACTCCTTTTGTGTAGTCAGCCTTAGCAATGTCTGCATAAATCTGAGCTGGATCTGCAGTACACACAGGGCAGGCAAATGGCTTGTGAATTTACTTGSGAGAGGGATCCTTGGTAAGGTGCTCAGAACACTGATTTCCTGGAATATGCTCTGCTMTCAGCTTCAGAGATCCCCAGCTCAATCCTTATGACTGCCGGACAACTCTTCTCATAGGTCCTCCTGTGGTCTTCACACACTTTCCTAAAAGTGCATGCTGCATTGTGGAGGAGACTCAGTCAGTCAGATTGATACATCAGTTTTAGCAAACATTCAGAGAATTGGCTTCACCACAGACAGGAATGGAAAGGGATGCCTTGCCTTCTATCTATTCACATTACAATAGTGACAAAATATAGCATTGAAAATGGAGGTAGCTCTCCCCTAGCAGTGTGTCACCATTTTAATAAAATGCTGCACAATGTTAATAGCTGACTTTAAAGTAGCAAGTATAAACTTTAGGCTTTAAATACTGTAAGCATTATTAATCCAGGCCCCTTAGAAGCATAATGAACCTCACAGCTTTTTACTGTATCAAAGATTTTTAATCACCACACACTGTTACACACAAAATCTGTCCATATCTTGATCTACCCAGAGAACTTCCATTAACTTTAACTAGAGATGCACATGCAGATTATGGGAAGGAAGATTTCATTGTACTCACACTTTCTGCTGAGACAATCTGCAAGTTCATATTGAAGTGAAGTTAGGATGAAATCAAAAGTGAGGAATGTGTTACTCTAAATATACTGGATTTTCAAGTATACTAACTACGATTTTTTTATCCGATGTGTCCAAGTAGTAATTCTTACACCGAAGCTCTAAAGTCCAGACTGAAGAATACAGAGCTAGTTTTGACAAAAAATGCTTTATATTAAAGATTGTATATACAGTATCTGAAATTACTGAAAACAAATGAGTGTAAGTTTATCAATTACTGTAGAGAAAACCTTGTCATTTGATACACTCATAATAGTGCTAGAGCACTGAACATAACACTTTTATCTTTAGTTTTTTAGCCCATAAGACTTCACTTTGATATGATTGAACTGTATAATATTTTTAAAGAAAACCTATCAAGTATGCCTGGCTTTTTTTTTCTTAGTTGTAATGAAAAAGTGTTTGGTTGTGAAAACATATATATATTTTCCAAAGATGACTGATGTTCATCATTTTCCCTCTCACTACCATATATTTCACTTCACATACCTGTAGGTTAATACAATAAAGTTTCTAATGAAAGATGGGAAGTGCTTTGATGTTTTTTCCTTTGTATTTCACTTGCCTACAAGGGATCTTGTAATAGCACGAGAAATGTATGAAATGTCATTTTTCCTCTCATGGTTTAACTCCACCTGGCAACTCAGTACCACAAGGCARTCATTCACTCCTTCAGGGCAGAGAAGAGGAAAGGAAACTCCATGGAATGAAATAAGAAGAGTTTAATTGGAAGAAAGTAAATTAAATTCCTACCACTAATTATAATACTAAACCAGAAAAATCTATCACACAGTTCTGCTATTTCAGATTTTAAAAGCTACAATCTTGTGTTGTAAAAGTATAGTCCTACTTCCTAGGCTTTTCTGTGTAGAGAATTTGAGAAACACAACTCAGTATTCCTTCAGTGCTGTTGGAACAGAGGGCTTAATCCTAAATAACTGATGGAGTTATTTTAGATTCAAATAGCCATCTCACTAATAAGAAAAAAAGTAACACAGAGTGATCCTGATTAACTACACAGGATAAATAATCATGAGTTATAAATTAATATCCTCCATAAAGAGTCATGTTTACACTTTAAAAAAAAAAAGGGCTTGGCCATTCCACAGATTTAGCTAGGTTGGAAAAGACCTTGGAGACCATCAAGACAGACCTGTGACCTAACACCACTTTATTTAATTAAACCATGGTACTGAGAGCCACATCCAGGGTTTTCCTAAACACCTTCAGGGATGGTGACTCCACCACCTCCCTGAGCAGCCCATTCCAGTATCTACTGACTCTTGTGAAGATTTTCTAATGTCCAACCTAAACCTCCCTGGTGGAGCTGGCTCATGTCCAGCCTGTCATCAGTCAGTCARTCAAGGTCCCTTTCTGCCTGGCTGCTGTCCAGCCACTCTGTCCCCAGCCTGTGGTGCTGCAGGGGTTGTTGTGGCCAAAGTGCAGGACCCAGYACTTGGACCTGCTAAACCTCCCATTGATAAATTCASTCCTGGGATCCAGCCTGTCCAGGGCCCTCTGCAGAGCCCTCCTACCCTCCAGCAGTTCCACACTCACACCCAGCTTGGCGCCATCTGCGAATTTGCTGATGGTGGAYTCAATCCGCTCCTCCAGATCATCAATAAAGAAATTAAACAGGACTGGCCCCAGCACTGATCTCTAGGGGACGCCACCAACTGGACACACCACCACTCTGGGCCCAGCCTCTTGCCTGTTCTTGACCCCATGAGAAGTGAACCTCAGTTCCTTCAAAAGGTCTTGATAGATGGAGCCCACGTGGCTCTAGCAGGCCTGATGCTGTACAAGTTGCGCTGTGATCAAAGAACCCAAAATCCCATTGATAGCACTGGCCCTTAAGTCATTTATTGATAATGTGCTTTCTCCATCATTCATCCCAGYGAGGAATATCTGCATCAGGAGTTAACTCAGCTCCTGCAGGAGTCTAAGGACAGCAGTGGTGCAACAGAAACTCTCTTCCTTTCTGCACAGCAACAAGCAGTGACTTTATGGTCACTGGTTCTGCTCACTGGGCTTCTGGCTGCTCAGGAGTTGTAACCATGGCTCTGTCAGCTGCAGGGAGCAGCAGGGATCCAGCAGCAAGGAGTTCAGCAGCAAGGAGAAGGCCAGTGAGCAGCAGAAGGTCCACGGTGCACACAATGGTGGCAGCTCTTTGGCTGTGCCCAGCCCACCAAGACAAGGCTGGAAGGGGCTGTCAGCATCCTGAGCTAGTTGGGAATGTCCCTGCTGATGCCAGAGGCCAGACTGGATGACCTCTGAAGRTCCCTTCCAACCCCAAACATCCTCTGGCTTTGTGATCCTAAAGCAGGACCTGCCCAGCACGTGAAGGACARGCCAGCGTGACACAATCACCACCAGCCATTGTATCCTGTCACAAGCCAACACCACCAAGCTCACCATAATTTTGGTCCTAGCCCAGCCCAGAGGGACAAGAAATGTTCCCACAGGGAAGGCATCCTACAAGAGAGGAATCACACAGCAGAACCCTGACAACAAGCCCTTTTTTTTTTTTTTTTTTTTTTTTTGTGAAAGTCAATAAACATTGTAAGTAACAACTATTACAGCAATACAATGAATGGTTCTAGCTAGTTTGTTTTAACACACTCGGGTCTAGAGGAACAAAAGACTCTTATTTGTTCCAGCCGACATTTCCTGGCACATGCAGCAGAAGAGTTCATTGACTCTAGAAGCACTTCACCCACAGCATCCTTCACAGGGAATTCTAAATAACTTCTTATAAATAAATTCATCTGGGATGATACTGAAAGATGGAGCAGTTAAAATTGTGTACCAGTTGGTCTTGAGTAAAGGCAAGAATTCTGCCAGTATTTCCATATGTATTTCTGTAAGAACATAGGGAATGTACAGATTTATTCTCTATCAGGACACAGCTTCAAGGGTATGATACAGGCTTTGGATTCTCATATAATCAGAAGTTTTTTTAAGGAAACTTTAAAATGCTATCAAGGCTGAGGGCATTTTTTTGTTTTTTGGAGTAACAGAATTTTCTGGAAAGTCAGAGGTAATGGTCAAAGAAAAGCTTCAGCTTTTGTTCATCACTTAACATTCCCTCTTGATTTTTAGGTTTCTCTAACCATAAATGTCACCATGAAACCCAGAAATCACAGAGAAGAAACAACCTCTTGCAAAAAAAAAAAAAAAAAAAAAAAAAAAAAAAAAAAAAAAAAAAAAAAAAAAAAAAAAAAAAAAAAAAACAAAAAAAAACAAAAAAACAACAACAACAAAAAAAAACCACCAAAACAAACAAACAAACAAAAAAAAAACCAACTTGAAATCCTTGTAATTTAAAGATACTTGGCTTTGCTGAGTTTCCCTTAGTATTATACACAGACTCARWGGGAGTATGTTTGCCAGGGCTTATTTACCAGGCCTGAACTGAGTTACACTTGAAACTCCCACATTAGCTGGCATGTCAAAGCTGCAAGAGTTAATTAAATACATWATTTCTTCTTCCCCTGTAGGGAAGGAAGGATGCTGGAAGGGCTGCTCATGTCAATGGCTCTGGTGATGTCCAGGTGGCCCAGAAGGCCARTGGCCCCTGGGCTGTCCCAGCCATGGGGTGGCAGCAGGAGCAGGGCAGTGACCGTCCCTGTGCTGGCACTGCTGAGGCCACACCTCGAGGGCTGGGGACAGTTCTGGGCTCCTCACAAGGAAGAMCAA